GTTTAATATGTTACTCGAATTATAGTAAAAAATTGTAACTAGTTATCGATAAATTTGCAACATTGAATGTTATTATATACACACATATTTATTTTTTGCTTTAAATTTTTTTGAGTTGTGAGTTTATGTAATGAACAAGCAATTTAAACTGATGGTTGAATCAATAAATGCTTATTGTTGCCTGTATCCCTTCGTTTTATTCTCCCAGTTTAGTACATTACTTTATAACTCAGTGATCTTTAAGGTTAACTGCCAGGCGGTCATTCTGTGATATACCTAGTTCCTGTTTTGCCAGACGTAGTGCAGGGAAACGAAGTTATTGCAGTATTCTACCGCTGTGGCATACAGTCGTCGCATATACATATCAGTTTTCATTTTGGCAGAATAGGGGAGACTGAAATGAAATCGAAATTTTGACATGTCTTTATGTAGAGTAAAAAATATAGGAATGTAAAAAATATTCATTACAAAACTAAAAGACATACAAAAGTTAAATAAGAACATGAAAGAAATTAAAAATTATCGTTTATTTGGAATGTTTGTTGAAACAAAATAAACAAAGGTGTGGTTGACCTTCACAAGTCTCACAGGAAGTTACTACTTTTTGACCCGATTTTTGTTGTGTTTTCCCAAATCTTCTCTTTATATGGTAAGCTGGGGATGTGCGCCCCCTTTTATTCATATGTGGTTTTAATTGTATCAATGCTTCAATTGGGTTATTTCTGCCAAATCGAAAAAAATGCACCAAGTACTTTGACAATGATCTTTATTTAGGAAAGATTCCAAATCTGCGGCTTTTCACGATTATTAATTATCATTGTTTTTTTCTTATATATCGCAGTAGCGCACTTGCCCCGTCAGTTTGGGGCAAGTGCGTCTCCCAGGTATAGTTTTATATAGTTTCCTTGCGTTGAATTACATGGTAAGTGTACTTATTTACTAGGCTTTTCTGAACACAGTTCCATTTTTTTTTTTAATTTTCATAATTTTGAAAACAAAATAACTTCATAAGGGTCTAATGACACACCAAAAAATTAGAAAGTACTTTATTTAAATGCAAAAGTTGTACAGTTTATCTTAATTTATGTTGTATATCTTGCGGAAACTTAATATTGAAATTATGAATTCCTCTCCTAACATGTGGAGCTGGTGATACTTTAAGGATATCCTCTTTTGTCACAAGTAATATATCTTTCACCTGAGGAAAAACAAAGCACTTTGTTTTTTTCCTCAGGAACTTCACCTGGGTATCACTTTCAGTGAGAGAAATCACGTGGCTTATATATAAAATGTCATTTCTGTCCCGACTTTGGCTTTTTAAAGCCACCAGAACCCAGTCTCCCACAGAAAATTCGGACGGAGAATCAAGAGATAGTACCTCCTCGTCATCTTCTTCTTCTAACGAAATCTGGTCCACGAAATCGCTATCTTCAGACTCATCGTGTACAGAGATCTGATCGTCCTTGTCTTTATCACTTGAGTCTTGGAAGGTGCCTTTGCTGGGTCCGGCAGTGATCACTTCCATGCATGCTGCAATTCGCTTCTTCTTTTTTGCTGGAGTTGGTATTCCGCTTTTTACGGTTTGTAGTAGGAGATGTTCGAAAGCTACTAGACATCTGAAACACAAGGTTAAATCATAAGGTTACGAGAGTAGCTCGCTAAAATCCTACGTCCATATTGTTGAAATACGATACTCACGAGTTTGTCTCGAAGGTGGCAACATCTGTCACATCTAGAGAAGTCTCTTGACGCTCATCTCTGACGTCCGCTAAAATCTGCCATCGCCTTAAAGAAGAAGCCTCTTAATGATCTTCGGGTACAACTTTATCATCAAATGGAAAGATACCTCCCTTCTTAAATCCATTTTTGATAACTTCTGGGTTGATTGTTGTCCATATTTTCCCAATTAGCTTAGAAAAAACTTTTTGGGAAGTCTCCGACCAGCAAACTGTCGCTGCCACTTCACAAGTTCTTCGTCCCACATTGATTTTAAAGCTTTGAACACCGCTAAATCCAATGGCTGGAAAATGTGACTTGTATGAGCCGGTAGTTTGAGGATGGTGATTCCTTCCGATCTCGCGTAATTAACCAAATCTGCCGTGAGGTGAGTTGAATGTCCGTCGTAGAAAACTAGTATAGGCCGATCAAGATCAATGTTTTTTTACAAAAGTACGTTCAAAATAGTTCCGAAATACAATAGCTTCAATCCAGCCATTTTTAGTAGCGGCATAAGCAGTACCAGGAAAGGCATCATGTTCGTCGGCCATACATTGGCCGAATTTCAGTTATATGTTTATTAGATAGTAACAAGACATATCATTTATCCTTCCACTTGAAAACGCAGATGCCTTTCTTGTTTTCCAATGCAAACGTTTCCCTTTTTTTCAATTTTTTATTTACTTCTTTTGGGTTTCCCTGACGATTTGCCCTTAGCGTCCCTCAAATATAGTGCGTTTTCTCATCATCATTTTGGCTTTATAACACTGCGTGAGTCCTTGACAAGAATTTCTCTCCAGTCCCTCTCATCATCAGTCTCCCTATCCATCGCCTACCTGCGCGTTTCCTTGTCAGGTGAAATATTAGCTAATTTGTTTTCTGACATATTTTTTCAAAAATTGAGACTAATATATAAAATTAGTGAAACATTATTAATGGAAGTATTTCAGTTGGTTGCCAGTTGCACATTAAGACCGGCACCTTTCTGGTGCCGGTTTAGGCTTCAGTCAATTCCATATGATTACGCATCTCCTCTTTTTCCTTAAGGGCTCTTTAAAGGCGTAACTATAGTGTGGTTCTGCCAACAGAATCTGCCAGCTCAAAATTAACCCAACATTTTTAACTAAATTTAAAAATATTTAAAATCAATTAAAGTTAGACCCAACCAAAGACCATACACAAATTCAAATAAATAATTAAAATTTTATAAAGAAAATAATTAAATTCATAAGAAAAGGATCAATTTTAGAACGCACCTATTGGTTGCTTCATTATTTGTCGCGGTAGAACAAGTTCTACTTAGTGGCGCGAGCGAGCTCGTGATGCTCGGGAATTCCCATATTTTGCTAACCGAGAAAGTATTTTTTTGTGTAGCTGGCGGTTTAGCGACACAGTCGATTTAACAGTGTTTATTTGATACAGATTATGAAAAAAACATAAAAATGAGAGGAATTGAATGGAATCGACTTCATTTGGTGATGTTCCTGGTAATGGAGTAGCCACAGAAGACAATCCATCAATGGACTACTGACAATTGGGAAGATTAAAATCTTTCAGGATACATAACTTATATTCTGGATACTTTTCAGCTAGATTATCTACATTTTCTGCAAATTCGACATATTTCTCAATGATACTACGTAGTGGAAAGTAGGCAGTTGCAAAGATAAACTTGTCGATGTGGCCAATCTCAATCTTGACAAACAGATGTTGGATATTTTGAGTCGCTGACAAACGAAAACTGGTTATGGTTTTCCGGACAGCTACAAAGACTCCTACACCTCTTTTGAAGATACTCGTTTCTCTTTATGTCATCTGTTAACCATGTTTCATTGAAAACTAAAACATCATATTGTGAGTAAGAAGTATTTTCAAACAGTAGTTGAAGTTTTGTACGCACCCTCTGAAAATACATCAGCGCTTTTGAAGTCTCGACTGAGATGGCTTTGAATCTGGTAGATATGTTTAGCTTTTTCATATTAACTTTGGTACACCATTAATATATTTTAAAATGAGATCGGATTCACCTTACGCGTTCTTCCTTTTAACTCATTTTTCAGTGCATTGATCTCAGCTCGTTCTTGAGTAGTTAAATCAGCTTCCAAAAATACTTTTAAACCTCTATCCAACTCCCTCTTGTTTCTCAATATCAACCGAGCCATTTAGGTGACTTTAGAGTTAGTCACAGTGATTGATACCCATTTTTATTTCGTTTACCAATTCTAGTCGGACTGACTATTTTTATATAAGAAGCAGCTAAGCCCGACAGCATTTCCTTAGCTTTAGATGTATCATCTTCCCCACCATCTTGAGGCATATTAAAGATCATAAGATTGCAAGATCTCTTTTGTCTCTCAGGCACTTACCTAATACAAAACACTGCCGTGCACGAATGTGGAACTGTAATTATTGTCGTTTTTTGTATTTGATTTAGAGGTGGTACTTTTTATGAAGGTAATACCTTTCTTGATGTCTTCAAATGAGGTAGTAAAACTGGTTTTCAAACTCTTGACTTCATCGAATCTGTTTTTCAAACTCCTCCATTTTTGACAGTTTGCAATTTTGATTTCACTTAGTGTATCTTCTAATCCTTTTACACACCTATTTAGTGTAACTGCCTTTTTGATTCCTGGAACGCAATCACCACACAAATATGGCATAATTCTGGTGGCCAAAAGTAGATACCTTATCTCTGTCAAGCTAATTCCAGTGCAGTTTTTGCTTAAAACATTTTTGCAAATATCACAAAGGTAACCAAAAACTTACCCTGTACCTTAGGTTCTTTAAAAACACAGTTCTTGGAACATTTTCCACATGTTCCTGTTATTTTTTAAGAGTATGTCAACAAATATTCAACAGACTGTCAACTGTAAACCCTTTAATAAAGATAGTAAGTCACATCACTGGTAGATGGTAATTACTTATCTACCACTATCAATTTGTCCTAATTGCTTCAAGTTTTTGTTTGAAAGAGAAAAACTGAAGATATAAACCTCATTGCAGTTTTTGCTATTTACAAATAAACTGTTTTTTCAAAAAATAAAGGTGATCTTCATATATCTTGTACTAATTATGCATAACTTTATAAATTAATTGTTAATATTTACTTGTAAAACAACAGTTTTTGGGAGCAATTACTAATGACATTGTTGGAGGTTGATTGATTCTAAATTACTAAGAGAGTATAGAGTATTTAAAAGGATAATTGTTCTATAATTCCTGTGTTCCATCCATTGGATAATATATTTCATTCTTATATTTGCTAAATATTACACAGTAGTCGCTAAATTTAATAAATTTATTTTACATAAAAATTCTATACATATTTACAAAAATATTTTATTTCAAAAGGAGATAACCACCTCTGGCAACCACCCATATTATTCTGAATTATATACTTCATGGTGTATTCATTTTGATTGTTTTCCTCCTCCCATTTTTCACGCCTCTTCATTTCGTCTAGAATATCTTGAGAAACAGGAATTGCTTTGAATGGCAACTTATTTGCTACATCCTGTAGGAAATTCTTTACTTCAGCATATTCACATTTTCCTCCTAATTCCAAAATTATTCTACCTGGAACAAATCATTAGCACATTTACTCAATATACTAGAGAAATCAGCAAGAAGGCATAGACAATCAAATGGTAAAAAAGCTGATTATATATTAACAAAAACATACCTGCTCTTACTGGAGTAACATAATGATCTATAGCACCCTTTCCACCACCCATTCGTACCCCTAAACCTTGTTTTGTGACTGGCTGCCAAGGCGCATCTACTCTCCACAGAGCAAACATCCTATTGTTATCCATTTTCCTACCAATTGTCATACGCATCATTTCGAAGTGACCCCACTTTAACCGACCACCTCCTGTTGCCTGGAAAATAATTTTACAGATTTATTTTTATGTCAAGCAATATATTAATATGAAAACTACCATAATTCCATATTGCTTGTGCAACAAGAAATTGTGTACTTTTTCTGGCCCGCGCATTAGCTTTAATTTCTTCTGCATTTTGGGCGGTCGTATCGATGGAGGCAACTGTGGGACTTTATCTATAAACTTCAGTCTAGGTTTTTCTGGTAGCTGAATGTCTAGAAAGAAAAAATATAATTTACATTACCTGTAACAAAAAGTACCTTTAGGTTAATCTATACTTACGGTCAAAGTTGGGAGGTGATGGAAAGTGTTTAAATCCACTAGTCTGAACAAATAGTATCCTTACAGCTAAAAATAAAAAATGTAATAATGTTAAACAATAAATAAATGTTTTATCTTACGTCTTAGTAGTTGTAGTTCGCGCAACATTTTGATTATTTTACTACAAAAAGTTTCTTAAAGATTATAATATTCTTAAATAAAATCGACAAAATTCTAGTTATATATTTTGGAATTTTTGTTAGGCTAATTTCTAATTTCTTCTTCTTTCTATGTACGTCAAATATGAATTATCTTCTTTCACTGTCAGTGAGATTGAGGTTAATCTACCTAACCTAACACTTTTGTAAACGTCAATATTATCAAATTTTTGGCGGTAGAATGGAAACAATTACGCTATGTAATAAATAATATCAAATTTAAACTATGAAAGACATCAAAGATTATTTTTCAAGCCCACAAAAGAAAACAGACGTAAACTCTGAAAACTCAGTGGTACCAGTTATAGAAGTAGAGCCAGAGTCTGATAAAAATGGGGATACAAGTAAAAAGAAACGTAGGAAAAAAAAGAAACGTAAAGTCTCCGATCCAGCAGTACGAGACGTAACGCAGTTATTATCGGAAAACTTAAAGTTTTCTCCGAATAATAGTGGACACACGAAGAGGGCTTCTGCAAATGGGAGCTTTATAAAATCCGTAGTCCAGGAAACTGAAAACAGCACCTATTCTCCTATGAAAATGAAAGAAAATAAACCAGATAATTGTAGAAATGGGTTAATTAAAGAGAGCAAATTGAAGAATATTAAAACTGCTTCAGCTGTGGAATTGAATTTAGAAGTAAATAGTAATGGGAATAAAACTTTAGAAGCAGATGTACAAGAAATATCTGATGAACTAATTGTAAATAGTGCTCAGAAGAACAATAAAGTTAACGCTTTTCAATTTTTGATGGATAGAAGGTATTTTATTCATATTGTAACTTAATGTGTTCTGTTCATTTATATCTGTCAATTTCACTTGTTTTTACTCTCTCAAGATAACATTTATTATTCATTCTCATGTTCTCTACTCTATATACTCTGCCTAAACTTTTTTGTTTAATTCCTCTATTTTTGCATAAAGTAACTTAATGAATTTCATCTATAAGCCATATTGTGTACATCTATAGTTGATTTAGTGTTGGTTGTTAAAGATTACTGACTCATTTTTTTTTCACATTTTAAAAATAAATACTTGATGGAAGTTGTTAATAATTTGAAAACTGCCAGTAAATGTTCTCATGGATGTTTCTGATTATCAGTTTTAATTAAGTTACATTAGCTTGATTCAATAATCCTTCATAATTACCCTCTCATATATGTTGGTGTTTGGATGTAATAGTTTTATGGTCATATATTGTTTTTATACTGGACTCTTCTCTATTCATCTGGCATTTAGCAGGTGTACCTTTTTTTCTTTCTTACTGATTCATATTAAAATTCCCAGTTGATTTATTAAATAATACAAATTAAATTGCACAGTGTAGATATTAAGTATTAACCCCCTAGTGAAGCCCGTTATTTAAGACAAAGATGAAAAACGTTAGGACCTGTCAATTTTTATTTTAATAGAGGTATTTTATAACATAAAAAAATTGTCACCCCTTTCATCCCCTTCACTTGACAGCTACCCCCTCAGATTTTTTAAATAGTAATGGAGGTCGTGCGATAGTTCGTTAGAAAGGGTTTGAAAAGAAGAATTCTAAAATCTATCACACTTTACTTTAACTTTAAGGATATGTTGGTTAATAACGATTTATTGTTTGGAGATACACTTTGCGATACGACAATACAAAAGTAGGTATACTGGTTTTGCTTTAATATGGGACCTTTGGTATATCAAAATTTATTTAATTTTTATTCTTGAACGTTTATACCGAATTATTTTTTTTTTTTTGCAGAATAAATACTTTTGTGTCATTAAAACATATCGTGGTTAGAACAATTTTTTAAATAATCTAGTTGGTGTGTCTAGTTTTTGACAACTTTACTGTCATAAAAGCCAAGCAGTTAACACTGTTGATTGTAAAGAATATTGACAAGAACTTGAGATTTGGTGAGTTTTAGTGGTAAAATGTAAATGTTTAGTATTCAAAAGTCAAAACAATCAAAATGGCACCACCTCGAAGATTAGTAGACAAATGGGAAGCAATTTTAATAGTTAGTGAAGCAGGCCGTAACAACCATGAAACTGTGAGAATATTTAATGAAAGTTTTCCAAATCGTGCAATTGATCAACATTACTATAGACTACTTGTCACCAAATTTAATGAAAACTGGTTCTGAAATACTTCTGAGGGAAAGCAAGTAGATATTTTGTCTCAATTTGTAGTAAATCCATTCAGTTCTATTAGAAATGTTGCTTGCAAATGCGAAGTAAGTCACAAGACCATCTTAAATTTTAAAAAGGCAAAAATTTCATCTCTATAAGATGAAAATGTTGTGAAACTATAGATAATAATATTTCACAAGATCCAAATTATTATTAATTATATAATATTAGACATATCTGTTTTTCTGATGAAACTATATTCTATTTAAATGGTCATGTACAACGAAAAAAAGTAAAATATTGGTCTGACGAAAACCCCGATTGTTTCGAGAGTATTATACTCAATTTCTGACTAAATTAAATGTTTGGGTAGGTATACTAGGGGATCACAGTATATGCCCTTTTTATCGAAGACAATTTAAAGAGGGAAAGCTATCTTAATCTATTGGAAACACAAATAATTCCTGCAATTAATGATGTGCTTAGAAACAATCCAGGCGAATTCGATCTTATTTTCCAGCAGGATGAAGCTCCGCCTCATTTCATTACGATGCTCGAGTTCGAAATATTTTATGTAATTTGTATTCGAGAAGATGGATTGGACATCGTGGATTCATTGAATGGCCACCAAGATCTTACTTCTCTAGATTTGATTCTTCAAACTGTATGGGAGCCAGTTGACTACACTTGATGAACTCTGTCAAAGAATAATCAAAGTATGTAATAGGATTGATATGCAGAACCTACAAAAGGTTAGGGAGGCAACGAAACAAAGAATCTACTTCTGCTAGGAAGTAAATGGAGAACATTTCAAGCATCTCCTGCAGTAATTTAAGTTCTTTAGGATAATTTGTCAGTTCCCACCATAACCCCCATTGCTATCTAAAATCTGAGGGGGTAGCTGTCAAGTGAAGGGAATGAAAGGGGTGACAATTTTTTTATGTTATAAAATACCTATATTAAAATAAAAATTGACGGGCCCGAATGTTTTTCATCTTTGTCTTAAATAACGGAGTTCACTAGGGGGGTAAGACTTAATATCCACACTGTATATTGTGTTTTTGTTTAGGAACAAAAGTATAGGAATGAACTCACCAGGCAAAGAACTAGGTAAAGATTCTGTGGTAGAAGAGCAAGAAAACAAAGAAAAATTAGCTGCACGAAGAGATTTGTTTATGAATTGGTCAGAACAAAAAGGTGGCGCAAAAAGAAAGAGAATAGAAGAAGAAAAAGATGAAATTATTGAGAAAAAGCTGAAAGTCAGAGCAAAGAGGTTAAAGAAACTTTTGAAAGTTGAGGGTGAGGAACTCGAGAAAACTGAAAAAGTCCCTAGAAGGAAAAGAGTAGCTAAAATGGAAAGCAGTAGTGAAGATTCTGATTTTGAAGTGGTGAAGGTTAAACAAGGTATAAGTGAAGATCAATCTTCAAAAAAAGAAAAAAATCGTACTAATAAACAAGTAAAAGAGAAAAAAACAGTGGAAATGAAGAAAAAAAGAGGAAGGTCTAAGAAGAATAAAGAAGATAAAACTTTACCAAAGGATACCAATGGTGAAACAAAAAAAGATATTAAACATTATAAAGTAGAAGATAAGAGCATCGAGGAAAGTTCTAAGAATAATTATACAAAAGAAGAGAATAAACATGACCAAAAAGAAAAAAATACAGTAAATTTAAAAAATGAAATAAACAACAGGTTTAAAAAAGCTGTCAAAAATATAGCTGGTAGCATGTTAGCATTTATAACCACTGACAAATGCAAAGAAGTTGATATAGAGGCTGAAATCGTTGATGAAACTGTTGAAAAGAAAACAAATCCAGAGGAAAATAACCCTAGAAAAAAAAGTAAATATAGGAAAAAATCAAAAAGGAAAACAAATAATTCCATTTCAAAAGCTGTGGCTTTGGATGATTCAAGCAGAGACACGATTATTTCTACAAAGGAAGCAAAAGAGACAGATATTTTGGTGGATGAATCAAGTACGGATGCTATAGTCACATCTACAAGGCGATCAAGTAGACTGAAAATAATGGAAGACAGAAATGAAGATGAAAAGTCAACTAGAAATAGCAAAGTGGTAGATTATGCTGAAAATTGTACTTCTGAAGGTAAGATTCCATAGTATTTTTACTTTTTTATATTCCATTATAGTTTAAAATAGATAATTTTGTTATTTCTTCATGTATTTCTCATAACATTCATTCAATACACTTGATAAAATGATGTTCCTACTTTGTTATCATTTTCAAAAAGCAGTTTGGCTCCAACTGTTCAATATAGTGTGATGTTTCCTGGCATATATGCCGAATGATCAATCAATTTGTATCCCAATTAGTGTAATTTTGTCTATGTAACGACCGCCTTTTGATAGGTTAAGTTGTTTTGATGGAAAAGACAAAGCAAGAGTTTTTCTCAGATCAGAAGCAAAATAGTACAACAGCACTGCATAGTATGACAATAATCGATGTCTCTTAATTCTTTTGCGTTTCACTTATAAGAATAATACTCATTTTTGAAAGAATGTATTGTTTTAAGAATCAGATGCAGCTGAAATTGTGGCTTTGAGTTCTGACGAGAAGAAACAAAACGCGCCAAAGAAGAATGTAAAACTCGCTCCCATATTCTCTAAAGCTGTACCCAAACCTAAGGAAGATCCTGCAGTCGTTGAAGCTAGAAAACAATTTTTGTTGAGCGGATTACCATCTGCGCTGAAGAAAACAATTGAAAAACAAAATAGGTAAGTTTGAATAAGGTATTAGGGTATTATTCAGATTGACTTACGAGGGTAAGATGAAAAATTCTCAGTTTCGTCTATTGGTGGTACTGGTTCAAATGAAATTATTTTTTACATCATAATATTATTGTATAAACATTTGATACAAGATGCTGGTTTATGGGCGATTTTTTGATTTTTTTTTTTTTTTGATAATTTCAGCATCATTGAGCAACAGAACACCTTTCCAATAACTCAACACATTCAACAAAGATGTGACAGTTCTTTTTGGTCTTTGCCTCATTCTGAATTGCAGTTACTCGAAGTCTCACCTTCAGCAGTAGACTACAACATCAGGTGTGAGCAATTAACAAAGAGCAATATCGTAAAAAGTATAAACATCGATACTGAAGTGAAAAAAGTAGATAAATTGAAGGTGTTGCTCAATAAAATTAAGGCAGAAAATCCCAACTATCCAGTATATAAGTCATTTAGACAGATTCATGAAAAAAGTGGACGGAAACTGGATATAACAGAAGATGTCACCAAAACTCCTGAAAGGAAGCGGAAACGGAACAAAAAGAAGAGAGAAAAGGAAGTAAATCAAACTGTAGAACTTTTGGATCAGAAAACTGATGCAGAGCCTGTTGAGTACAGCATGTGGACGGAAAAATACAAGCCTAAGTGTTCCAATGATATCATTGGAAATGCGCTGGCAGTTAAAAGTTTGAAAAAGTGGCTGGAAGATTGGAAGCAATTTAGGTAAGCATTTTTTTTAATGTTTATTTAGCATTATGTCTACCTTAGTATTGCATGTTCTAAAGATCTTATTTTCCAGCATCTATGAACGAAGAACAAAGCTTTTACTATTATATTAATGTTTTAAAATTAAGAATAATAATTTTAAACCGTTTATCAGAGAATTTTACGGCAGTGTCAAATTTTTCTTTGATCACTTTTCGAATTAGTTTCCTTGACCATTTCGTAGCCCAGAGATCAGTCTAATCGACTGTTATGTTTAAAATCAAACTAAAAAAAAATCCAGGAAGTTATGATATTATTACAAAGATGCAAGTACTCTATTTTTTGTACAAAAAAATCATTGCTCATACAACTAAAAGGTCATAAAGTGAAGTCAGGAATGGTCATTAGTTTAACTGGTATCTATATCTGTATTTATGAACTAAACATTTCGTTTGTGTCTTTGTAGTCAAGAAATAAATTCAAGAAAGAGACGACGAAGTTCTACTAGCGAATCAGAGTTTGAGAAAACCGATTGTGACAGTAGGGAGAGTTCCACTTTACCTGGAAAAATAATTGTTCTAGCAGGACCGTGCGGAAGTGGGAAAACTACAGCTGTGTATGCTCTCTGCAACGAATTAGGATTCAATGTCATCGAACTCAATGCATCTAGCAAAAGAACAGGTAAATACTTCCATGTTATTTTGTCAGCAGTTAGTTTTTGCGAGTTTTTGAAAAAGTACCATTATTCTTCTCTTTACTTTAATTTCTTTTTATTTTGACCAACGTCTAATATATTTGTAGTCTTTTATATTTACTTTTTTCATGTTTTGGATTAAAAACTTTTATAACAACTATTTTCATTACAAATTTTATAAAACACACTTACGTAAATGATATTAATTATTCATTCAATAAAAATCTTTTGCCACATATGAATTTTGAGATGTAATCAAAGTTAGAAGTCGGAGGGAGCTAAATCTGACAAATAAGGTGGATATTCCACATATTCATTATAAATTCACCTATTTTCGTGATTGTTTCTTGAGCTATGTGAGATTGTTCTTTGTTTCTTCAGTAAACCAAGTCTTTACTTGCGAAGGTTTACATCTTGTTGGTCCAAAAGCTAACAATAATAATCTCAGTTTATTATTTCACCAGTTTGCTGAGTAGACTCAAATCTCGTCCATTGGACTCATATGCATCTACAAAAATATTCAAGAGGGTTCAACTAATATGTCGAGACGTTTGCTGGCACTGTTTGCATAACTCACGGCAGGGAATGTTCTAAAACCTGACATTCCAATAGTTCCGGAGCTTGTTTGCTGCAATACATTTTAAGAAACATGGAATAGCTTTTACAAATGGCTGAAAAAATAACATTTGTTTTTTCTTCCTCGTTTCTTCTTTCTATTTAAGTTAATTTCTTTTTATTTAAGTTATTTACTACTTTTTATATTCTTATGTAGTTATTTTTTTCATATTTTGGTTTAAAAACTTTTTTAATGAGTTTTTTCTTTAAATATTTTATAAAATAGGCTTCCCTAACTGCTATTACCTGTTCGTTCAATGGAAATCTTTTTTTGCGTATGAATTTTGATATTTAAGCAAAGTCAGAAGTCGGGGAGAGCTAAGTCTGGCAAATAGGGTGGATATTCCACCTATCCATACTTAAATTCACTTAATTTCGCGATGATTTGTTTAACTATGAAGGAGGATGCTTTGTCGTGGTGAAAAATTATTTTTTCTTCTATAAACCTGATCTTTTTTGACTAATTTTTATATCCAGCTTCTACAAAAGGTTAGATTAGTAATATGAGTTTATTGTTTTACCTGTTTCGAAATAATCATTAATCAATATTAATTTTGCACGCCAAGAGATTGATGCGCTCTTTGTCGATTTCTGGACCACACTTCGGTTCGGAACAAAAATACTTGGTTTACTTTACGCCTTAGCCTCTTGTTTTGATTTAGGCTCATATTGGTATATCCAAATCGCATCTACAGAATTTATATACACCGACAAAAATACTCACGACAGTTCTACTAACATTGTTCTGAAGCTATTTTCTTGTGGCATTGTAAATTAATTATTATTAAACTGGGAATAAGCCACAATTAAAGATAAAAATACGTTTATTGACGTTTCAATTTCCACTTCGGAAATCGTTCTCAAAATACAAACAGTAAATTAAACAAATTTTGTTTTTTGTTACATAGTGAAAAATTCTTCTAATAATTTAATTTTATCTGACTCATTTATATTGACAATTCAGACATACATTATGCATTTTAAAGTAGACGACTTTAAAATGATATTGCCAATATTGTTGAGTTGCGCTCCTGGGACGACTTTACTTATAAGATAGTTCATTCGATTACATGAAATCAACTTTAACTTGAGAATATCCGTCAGAAAAAAATCATAGTATGTAATTCGTCTTTAAAAAGACAAACACATGACATGATGACAGTAAAAATCTCAAATCTGTAAACACGCATGGGATAATGAACATAGGGTTCAATGGAATAATTCAAATGTAGTCCTAAAAGAAACGGATAATAATAAAAAAAAAATCAAAGAAGCGGCTCTAATTATGCTAAATGAGGCCAATTGTGTCGCAAATTCCTCGGCAGAATGTAGTAGGATCTGGTTACCAATATTGAAAGAGGAAGTTATTAATAAGAAAATACCAGTATTAGTAAGTCAGTAACATATAGAGGATACATCATTGATGTTTTTTAAATAACGTAACATATAAAATCAGAATTTTGATGTTTGTTGAAGGTAAACTAAATTCACGAACAAATACTTACAATGTCGGGATAGTAGTATGAGGTTTTTTCCTGGTTTTCCCTCATAATTTACTATGGAATCACTAACAGGAGAATTTTACTGTCATCATGTCATGTGTTTGTCTTTTTAAAGACGAATTACATGCTATGATTTTTTTCTGACGGATATTCTCAAGTTAAAGTTGATTTCATGTAATCGAATGAACTATCTTATAAGTAAAGTCGTCCCAGGAGCGCAACTCAACAATATTGGCAATATCATTTTAAAGTCGTGTACTTTAAAATGCATAATGTATGTCTGAATTGTCAATATAAATGAGTCAGATAAAATTAAATTATTAGAAGAATTTTTCACTATGTAACAAAAAAAAAACAAAATTTGTTTAATTTACTGTTTGTATTTTGAGAACGATTTCCGAAGTAGAAATTGAAACGTCAATAAACGTATTTTTATCTTTAATTGTGGCTTATTCCCAGTTTAATAATAATTAGTTCTACTAACATTTCGAAACGTCTGTCACTGACGTATATAAAATACAATTCCATTACTGATATTTCCTGTACGTTGGATGAAAATCAGAGTGAGTTAAATCTGGCGAATAGGATGGATGTTTCAACAATTCGTACTTACATTCACGGATTTTCACAATGGTTTGTGCATTGATGAAAAATATTTTTTTCTTCTCTAAACCAAGACTTTTTTAATAAATTTTGACATCCAGCTACCCAAAAGGTTATAATAATAATATATGTTCATTGTTTTGTCAGTTTGGAGATAATCTATGATCGAAATTAATTTTGCATCTCAAGGAAACTGATACTAATACTTTTTTGGCTGATTTTGTAAGGCACTAGTTTGCTTTGGAGCCAAAGTACCGGATTCATAGCACCTCTTAGACTCTTGTTTTGAGTTAGATCATGTTGGAAGGCCCGAACCGTATTCCTCATGACGAAATGACGCATAACTGTTCCATTACTTGTAAAATCATCCAAATCTTGTTCATAAAATATTCGTCTATTGTTATGTTACATTGTTGATAATGTGGCTGCAATTATTCACACAGCTTTGTAAAACCCGAACCTTCAGTAAAAATATTTTTAACACTGCCTAACAAGACACCATTGGCTTCTATTAAATCTCTCAGGCAATCGGAGATCTTCCCAAACCATATCCTCTATTTTCGCTATGGTTGACGCTTTTCTAATTGAAGATGAAGATTCCTTATACTCTTTTAACACAACTTCATTAATTTGTTTTGGTGCTAAATCTTCCAAAATTACAAATTTTATCACTGTACGATAATTTTTTTGATTATTAAAAATGTTTGACGTGTCAACTTTGAAGAGACCTTCTTAACAGCAAACTTTGTAGCGCCATCTTTTATCGTACAACAGATTCATTTGTTAACTTAGTTATCAAGAAATCTTCCTATTATTAAAATAATGTGTGTGGTCAATTTTATATTAGGCAAGCGTCTACTACAAGAAATTCAAGAAGCCACGCAGTCCCACCAAGTGCGAAACAAAGAATCGCAGTCGTTCCAGACATTCTTTAAGTCAAACTCCCAGACGGAAAAACCCGAAAATCCCGAAAACTCCTCGAAGAAAATGTGCGTCCTTCTTGTAGAAGATATCGACGTCGTTTTCGAGCAGGACGACGGCTTCATCAGCGCTCTGTTACAGTTGTCGACCACGAGTAAGAGACCTATTATAGCGACCACCACCGACTATACGTCTTTCATTGTACAGAAGTTCTTAGGGATGTACGAGTACATCGAGTTCGTGCCTTTATCTTCGTTCTTGCTGTCGACGTGGCTTCAGATCGTGTTTTTGGTGGAAGGGTTGTACGTTTCACAAGACGAAATAGGTAAGTTGTTTTTATTTTATTAAAATTATGTGTTTTATTATCTATTCTTTCATAACTTAATGGATCTTACACTTTTGTGCACTAAGTTTATTAATTAAGCTCTCAGACCTACTTTTTTATTTTTATTTTTTATAACTGTCAGTGACAAAAGCTACAAATTGGAAATTTTACACTTGCAAACCTTGAACCGTACAAAATTTCAAATTCTTTTAATGTAATGAGTTTAGTTTTCGATAGATGGCGTAAAAAACTAGTTGCTCTCGGTTTTGGCATTTGTTAAAAGGTTGCTTAAGCTATACTGAAATCAAAGCCGAACTGTATGTTTGATAATGCAGCTCCAGATGCCCTAGAAATTGTCACTACCTCAGATCTCATCAATAAAGTTCATTCGATGATAACGGCAGATAGCAGAGGCTCTAAGTATGTTAACTGAGCGTGTACGTAACATCTTACACGAATATTTGGACGTGAAAAAGTATCTTCTTATCTGAAAAAGATGGTTCTTGAATCATGGGACCATTTCTATAAGCTGGGGACAAAGAAACAGTCAAGCAGTGGAGAAAAAAAGATGAAGGAATGGCAAAAGCCTTCTTCATTCAGTCTGTTGATCTCTTCATTGCGTGCAAATTGATTCTGATGGTTGATTACTTGAAACGAAGGGTACAGCAATAACTGGGTTGTATTACACAGCTCAATTGTATCGATTCTAAGGCGATTTGTACAAAAAACGCTCTAGTTTGTCTCGAAAAAAATCGAGACGACGCACTTTCTCGTAAAGTGGCCGTTGCTCAGACAAAATTACAACAATTAGAGATTTTAATTCATCGACCGTCCATCGTATCCGCCAGATTTCACCTCCTGTGACTATTTCCTGTTAGCAAATTTTAAAAAACGTCTTGGAGCACACCGTTTTGCAAAGTTTTTAGCGATTCTGCAAAATAAAGTTCTATTGTAGCGTCCTCTAGAAACAATAATGCAATTAATTTATTCGTATTCAAACATCATATCGACATTTTTGGATATAAACAGATATATTACGTTTTGATTAATGGACAGAATAAATATAAATTTTGCATTTCTCCCTAAACCGCCCTATTTGTGTCCTTCCGAAAGTTTGACGGTAAAACTTTTACACGGAGAAAAAATTTCTCAAACAAAAAATAACACAGTTTGACGTTGTTAAAGTAGCTGACCTTGTTATCATCCAGTATTTACTATATAAAGGTGCTACTACAATTTCTAATTATACTTAGAGGAGTAGGCTTGTTATAAGATGATCCAAATCTATCGTAGAGCGGAAATGGCATCGTACATCACTGATAAGCTTTAAAAAGATCACGTGGCCAATATTACGGCCCACTGGATGATCGTAGTGTTATACAAAATGAAGAATTTTGGTGTTGGTGATTGAAGAAGTAAATAATCAACGACTCGAGACTTCTATAAGGTCAGAATCTGGCGTTGAGGTGGTTTTTATCCAAATGTTGGTAAGAGAGTTGGACAAAATAACGAATTTGTGGTGGTAGTGGCTAAAGAATTAAATAATTTGTTTTGGCATAGGCATTTGCCATTCAGCCAGTCACAACTTTTTTTAAGTTCTTCCCAAAGGAAAGAAAAGAAAATAATTATCACAATTATTTAAAGTAAATAATAAATGACTGGAAACATCTAGAAGCTTATAATTTGTCGTTATGAAGCATTTTTATCGACTGGGTAGCTGGAATTAAGAAAAATGTATAGCGATTAAAAAAGTACATAATCAAATGAAATCGTAGGCTTCCACGGCCAGAGTCAGAGACTTCAGTCTATTCTGAAGTCTAGACTGAATTAAGTGGTGTCTATTCTATTCCTTGTTCATGTGGACATGTGTATATTGGCGAAACTGGTCGTTCCGTCAAAACTCGGATTCAAGAGCATCAAAGATGCATTCGATCAGGTCTTTTCTCCCATTCTGCAGTTGCAGAACACTGCCAAGAAACCGGTCATTCCATATTGTTCGAAAAACCCATATTATTTCTAAGAGCCCCTTCTTTTATTCCAGGAAAATCCGCGAATCTCTAGAGATCCGAAAAAATCCACATAATATCAATCGAGAGGAAGGATACTACTTGTCTCCCATCTGGAATCTCAGTCTAGAGCCGCCGTCCGGTCCCGCTACCACGATGCAGCCACATGATTGGCCAGCGCGCGCTTCTTGACGTTCGCGCCACGGAGTGTGCCGATGCGTCCCGACACGACAGGTCACCGCGACTATAAATAGAGCGGTAGCGGAGTAATTGTCGGATTCACTCCCCGCCTCTCGACGCGTTAGTGTTCTGAGCTGTTGGACGTGAATCCCTGTCCTGGCATTTGGTTTTCACCTCTGGCGTTTAGTAGTTGAGTTACTGTGACCAAATGCCCATCTTGGTAGTTAGTATTCGCCTCTGGTTGCTTTGAGTAACTGAGCTACCGTTGCTAACTACTATCTTCCTGTCTTTTGATTTCTTTTTCTTTGTTCTCCTAAAGAAGCTACATACAATTGTAGCGAAACGTCGAGATGAACCCCCTTTTGGGTCACTCACAAATGACACGGTCCAAACCCGGAAGACGAATAAACAAGTACAAAATCAATCATCTAAAGGCATCTAGAAGGTCAGAAGGGTGTTCTTCTAAGCTGGATATAAATGAAAAGTATGATGTATATAAGTCAAAATAATTGTAAAATTATAATTGTGGATTGGTAGTTGGTTGTACTTTGACTGCGTAGAAATATCATTGATGACGAGCAGTGAATTTAATGCATAAATTACTTGCTATGTTTAGCGTTTATATATATCCATCAAGGGTTTCAGGAAGGACAAAAAACTCTCCCATATTTACGTTTTCTCTCTGATTCATGATGCAAATTATTTTCTTAATTTATTTAATTCTTACAAATGTATATTGGATTTGCGTTAATGACTAATATTACCAAAGCTACATATACTTCATCTAATTTACATACCGTTGCACGTCATTATCTACGTTAGAGATTGAAGTTGACATAGTTGCCAAAGTATAAAAAAATCCTGATTCCATTTTAAATCAAATAGGTCACATAAGTATTGCAAAAGTATTACCATCTCTTTACAACAACTATTTAAATTCTTACGTGACATTTTTGAAATAAAACACACTAATTTTGTTCTAAAAAGAAAAGATTTAATTAAATAGGTAAAAATATAAAACAAGAGGTATTCACTTTAAAATTCAAAATGTATCAACACCGCAACTGTCAAATAAGTGTTACCAATTTATGTCAAAATTTCACCTTCGTTCGATTACAGTTACAGTGTGTTCCGAACAAATGTTCTTCATCAAAACGCTTTATAATACAGTTATACAAATTAAATGAAACATATTATTGTTTTTTTTGTATTTACTAATAATAGTCGCTTCAACCACCTGGGTCATTAGCGACATTAGTACTACATTATACTAAATTATATAAAGATGTTTCTTTTAGAAATCTAATTAAGTTTTTAGTATTTAAATGTTCACCTAATACTGTTTTTAAGTCACTGGAAATATTGTTATTTTGTCTGTTAACTGTATATTTTCCACATTCTGTTAGGAGATGTTTAACAGTAATATTGACTTGACAGTAATCACACACTGGAATGTCTTCTTTACTTATTAGGTGCTTATGAGTAATATTGGTATGACCTAATCAAAGTCGAGAAATTTTGACTTGGTCAGCTCTTTTTAAGTTTACTAGGCGCCACGGTTTCACTGTCGATTTAATTTCTTTTAATTTAAATTCCGATAAGTTCCACTTATTTTGCCACGCACTAATCACTTTTTCTTTAACGAACTGTTTTATATCACTGCAGATAGTCTTTGACACTATTATAGCTTGATCATTTTTGGTGGCTTCTCTTGCTTGGAGGTCTGCGTTTTCATTACCTTGTATTCCTGTGTGAGATGGAACCCACATAAATTTGACTTCTAAACCAGATTCTTGTAAGGCAGCAAGTTATTTCTTGACAAGTAAGGCTATAGGGTTCTTAGTATATAGTTGACCGATTGTTGTTAAGGAGTTTAGAGAATCTGTGATAATGACGGAAGAAGAATGGTTTGTACTTTTGATATGAATGAGGGCTTGTAATATTGCATATAATTCTGCTGTGTATATAGAAGTGGCTGGCATTAATTTAAATTGGAAAGAGGAATATGGAGTGACAAATGCTGCTCCTACGTCATTTCCAGATTTGGAGGCATCTGTATAAATGCAAAAGCTTGTCCCGTAAGTCTCGAGTTCCTTTAAACATGACTGTCGGATTACAGTGGGTGATGTATCTGATTTGTTATATTGGAGTAGCGTCGTATTGATTTCGGGAATCATGATTAACCAGGGAGGTGGAGTTTTTACATTTGAAGGAAAGAGGTCAGAAATTTGGAGTTGTAGATCTTTTAAATTTCTTCGAACTCTTTCGTAGAAAGGTGGATCGAACCTACTTTTGTTATAAGCTTCTAGGTAACGGTCCGTAAATGCATTTTGAAATACTGGGTGGAATTTGTTGCTGGCGACTGATGCTGCATACGAAAGGCATAAATAATTTCTTCGTAGATTAAGAGGTGGCTCTCCTGTGAGGCATTGGAGATTCTTAACCGGTGTGGTTCTAAATGCACAACATATTATTGTGTATTTCTTTAAGTTAACATTAATAGAAATCTTTAAATATTATTTCTACGCGTATATAATAAAATATGTCTAGTGGGTGTAATGCCAGTGTACTCGGCAAAGTGATTCTAAAAAAGAACACACCTACCGCCTAAATATTTCGTCTTGGTATCATGTGTCGTCACGGGCTATGACGCCGATGACGTGCATCGATATGTAAATTAGATTAAGTATACTAGATTATGGTGTTGTCTCTCCCTGATGATTGTACGCCTCTCTTAAAACTAAATGAATAAAATCTAATAGTATAAAACTTATTTTGTCTGCATATATATATATATACTAATTTATGTCTTACAATACTTTTTAGGTAGTTTATTAGAATATTACAAAGGAGACGTCAGGAAAACGCTGCTGCAGTTCCAATTTTGGGTCCAATCCGGAGGCCAACTACAACGAAATCGTTCTCTGATCAAGTTAGAATATAAAAAAACTCCTACTGACGAACAGCTGGCTGAAGACGAAAAATTTAGTGCTGTCGATGAGGAGAAATGTACAGAAGACGACGTTTTTGAACACAGACAATGTTTAGGAAGTTTCGAGATATTAGAGCGTGATGAATCGTTTAGAGTGCCGTTTTATTTGAACTTGGGACTATTGTGGTGGAATTTGCCGAGTATTTTGAATATACCAGACGTTTCTGGACAAAGAATTCGCTCTTTACAAAACGGAGATCTTGCAAAAGAAGAATCGAGCGATGATTTGAAACAAAAAACTTTAAAACAAATCAAATCGATTGGAAAAGTGTACGATGCGTTGTCACACGTCGATATAAAATTTAGAAAAAATAGTTTAGTCAGTTCCGAACCTTTAAAAAGATTTAGTGTTCAAATTAAAGACAGTTTAGAATTGTCAGAGGCTCTAAATAGGTATAATGACATGGAGTTTGTGCACGAACTAACGCATTCTTTTGTAAATGGATGTATCAGTCATTGTGGGACCGTTAATAGCAAAAGTTGTGCACTGAACGTGACGATGCCGGATAAAATCGAAAGAAGGTAAGTTATAGGTTATCTTAGGTTAAGTTAAAAAGTTATAAAGGTAAAAACAGATGGGTTAATACTCTCCGAACAAAAATTTAGTTCGAACTTGCTCGAGTTTTTATATTTCTTCTTTTTTAGATGGCGAACAAAAATTGATAAATGCGAAGACGCCTTTAACGAAGCTTTACCAATGACGACTGAACGAAAGGCTGCAGCCCTGGACTACATGCCCGCTTTGCGGAACATTACGAGGTCAGAGTTTTTGCGGGCTGCGAATAATACAAAAAGAGGAAACCGTTTTAGGTACTACTTACGAGATATAGGGATAAAATATAATGACGATTTAGTTAAAAGCGCGTGCGAAATATTAAACAGTATGGAATAGACTTTTTGCATATATTTTTACATATATTAAAATTATTTATTAAGAAAAAATTGTGTTGGCAATTCTGTGTAAATAAAAATCATTTTTATTAATGTTTTTTTTATCCTGAGTACGAACCATTTTCAAATGACATACTTTGGACCTTGTTATCATCCACAATTTACGATATAAAGATGCTTCTACAATTTCTAATTTCACCTTGAAGAGTAGGTTTGTTAGATGACCCAATTTCGTCCTACAGCAGAATTTAAATCACACATCCCTGATAAGCTATATAAATACCACGTGACCAATATCGCGACACACTGGATACTTGTAATACTAAAGGCAAAATAAAGAATTTTTAGTGATAGTGATTGAAGAACTAAGTAATCAACGACCGAAAGTTTCTAGAAGGTCCGAACGTGGCATTATTGTTGGTCAATAATAATTTTAGGAAATGTTAACTGAAAAATTAAATAATCAACGACCGGATGCATCTAGAAGACCAGAAAACGATTTTTATAAACTGGATAGTCGAAAATTTGCGAAAATTAAGAATTTTGGCTGGAAGTAGCGAAAAAAATTATTAATACATCCAAACTTTCCTCGAAGATCAAAAAGTTTATTTTTAAACTGTATAGTATGGCCTTAATATAGAATTTTCGGGGTACTGGCTGAAAAAGTTAATTATCAATGACCAGAGACATCTAACTAGGTGGCCTAGGTGGTTTTTTTTTGCCGGAAAGTTCAACGAAATATAAAAGTGTTTCTGGAAGTAGCAAAAGAAATAATTATCTATAATTAAACGTTTCTAGAAGGTGCTGTGAAGTGCAGTTTTAGTTAACTGGATAGTCTGGGAGTTGAAAGAATTTAGGACTATAGTGGTTGATGAACTAACCATCAATAACAGGAGACTTCCTGTTACCATCAATGATCACAGATCTGCGTAGTATCAATGTGAGGGACCGTGTATTAATTTCCAGTTTTTGTCCAAATTTTTTCATTCTACAAAGATATAGTGTCCAATCAAGGTGTATCCTTGTTCCTAGTCATTTTTTTTTGCTTGCCATATTTCTTTCTCTGGGTCTTACTTTATATAATTTGTCAATGATGAAACAATTCAACTGTTTTTCTTTGATTAATTTTAGTAATGAGCAAAAGTTCTGGGGCGCTATTCTTGACCACTCGCAAGTACAAATGTCATTCTCAAGATCGAACGATGCGAACGAAATACTGTTTTTCGTATTCTTGAGCACTCTCAGCAATTGCGAACATTCGAAACTCGCTACGAGTGGTTGAAATAATTCTCATCGTCTTCGCAAGTGAAGATTGTAACGTTTTATGTTAAAAAAATATGGTTATGTTTATTTTTAAATGAAATTTGCAAATCTTGCTGTATAATGTTGCTGTAACTTTTATGTAGAATAATTGGAGCGGTAAATTATTATATAATTTTATTCATTCATTAATATCTAATAACGTTTATTAATTTTCCAGATAAAGTTAAAATCATTTTAAAAAAAAAAAAAAATTCTACAAAAAGTATCAAATAAAGTAATTAGACATTTGTGTGTTATGGACGACTTGCAAGCTATTGCTGCCATTGAAAATTTGGAAAATGCCGAAGAAGCAGTCCAACCACGTAACCGATTTAACAACATTGATCCGTTTGAAATGCTATCTGACAATCAATTTGTGCAGCATTTTCGATTAAGTAAGGAATTGTGCCGTTACTTAATTGAAATAGTCACTCCACACATGAGACCGCAAAGACGAGCAACAGATTTAAGCGTGACCACAAGAGTAAGTTTTTCATTTTGTCTTATAGTAAGGCCCTTATTAACATTCTATCTTTTATAGGTTTTAGCTGCATTGCGTTTTTTCGCAACAGGCAGTTACCAGATGGACATCGCGAATGGATCATTTGTATCAATTTCACAACCTTCAATGTCGCGATGTCTAGAAGAAGTTAGCGTGGCACTTAACGAACCCGATATATTTAATACATGGGTACATTTCCCAAGAAATGTTGAGGAATTGAATGAAACTAGGACAAAGTTTTACGAAAAGTTTTAGTTTCCTGGTGTTATAGGGTGCATCGATTGCACCCATGTTGCTATATTTCCACCAAAAATTAATGATGAGGAAAATCCTGAATACATTTATGTTAATCGGAAGGGGTATCATTCAATGAATGTACAACTTATATGTGATAGCAATCTTAAAATAATTAATGTGAATGCAAGATACCCAGGAAGCACACATGATTCATATATATGGGCCAATTCAAATGTTTTGGGTATATTAGAAAACTTACATAGAAGAGGATTTAATAATTATTATTTATTAGGAGACAGTGGATATCCATTAAGGCCCTGGCTCTTGACTCCTTTAGAGGAAGAACCTGCTGTAAACGACCCTGGATATAATTACAATATAGCCCACAAACAAACAAGAAACACAATAGAAAGGTGTAATGGTATCTTGAAAATGCGATTCAGGTGTTTATTAAAACACAGAGTACTGCATTACAAACCTGCAATCGCTAGCAGAATAATAAATGCCTGCATAGTGCTTCATAATATGTGCATCGAATACAATATTCCTGAGATGCCTATTGATGAAGAAAACATTGATTTAGGACAAATTTTTAACGAACTGAACCAGCCACAAAATGACAATTTACAAAATGCAGCAAGACGTGTCAATCCTGAACTTGCTGCAGGGAGAAGGTTAAGGCAAAATTTAATTAACAATTTTTTTACCAATAATTAAATACATTAGTAAAATATACTCAGTTTTTACTTATCCCCTTTTTACTTTATTTGAGTACAGTGTATTTCCATATGAACTGCACAAGAAAGAAAAATTGGTATTTATCAAATGTTATTCTTTATAAAAGTTTGTTTTCCACTACTCATTTTTATTGCAAAAACATGTTATTTACCTAAATATAAAGTTGTAGCTTCATAGAATTTTTATTTTTTTTAAGTATAGATATCCTCTAATTGCCCTTGTGTCATATTTTTCATTATCCTAAATCAAAACCTATTGAGGATTATTACTAAATAATGATTGTATTGTATTTTAAAATGAACCTATGTCCTTCAAGAAAGAAAACTATAAGTAAACAATCAAACTTTTTATATTGCTCCAATAAACAAACTTATAAAAAAATACAAATAAAATCTTTTAAAAAAACTCATCAAGTTTATTAGACATTTCTTCTAATACAGCTACAATGCGTTCATTGGCAACTGCACTTCTTTCTTTTGCAACTGTGCTTCTTTCTTTTGCAACTACCAACCTCTCAAGCAATGAAATTTTTTTTTCATAATAATTTTTTTTTATTTTATTTTTTTCATTTAAAGACAGTTGATAATTTTCTGCTGCCTCTGAAGTGTATTCTAATTTTTTTCTTGGTTTTTTTTGGTTTATTTTTAATTGGGCTTTTTTCCAGTTTTATTGGAGCAACTGTTGGTTGTTGTTGTTCCAATTCTTCTCTCGTATCAGTCGTATCTACTGCATCTGGTTCAAGTTGGTGATCGGTCAAGTTTTCTTCTTCATTAAAACAAAAATTTGCTTCTGATTCCGCAATGTCCGATTGTCCAGCCAGTGATATTACTGTGATTGTTTCTAGCACTTCTTGTTCAAAGGGGTTTGCCTTTTCTATGGGTGGTCCACCTCCTGTACCTTGCGCATGTTTTTTTAATTGCCCATTTTTGGCTTTTGTCCTGCTTCGTATGTCTTGCCATGTCTACGATAAAATTAACATAATTAATATTACATTTGCAATGATAAGATATGTTTTATTTATTACCTTTCGCCAAGCTCGCCAGTTTTTATTGGCCCCATCACCACAACTATTTAATACATTTGCAATCTCTTGCCATTTATTCTGGGCATCGTTTTGCGAAAATGTGTTGGAAAATTTTGCAGCCAGCAAGTTGGGATTTTTTTTCATAAACTCCAGCAATAATTTTTTTTGTTCATCTGAGGCATTTGTTGATCTTTTTACTTTAATGGTTTGCATTTCCATTTTCAAAATACAAATGAAATGTAAACAAGCTGTAAACTGTAAATAACCACAAAATAACCTTATTCCGACAGCAGTGAAGACAGGCGTTTTAGACATTACAGTGTTGCTAAATGTATTTAGACGTCAACAATGCGAACAGTCGCATATTTTTGCGGACGGTGGTCAAGAATACCATTTTTAGAAAACGTTCGCAAATCAAACCTTCGCATCGTGCGTATACGTGCTAATTGCGAGTGATGTCGAGAATAGCGACCCTGATCTTTGTGTATCTTCATACTACTTGAGAAAGTTTTGTTTAGAAAGTTATTCCAATACAATTTAAAAAGTTTCTGTATTTAAATGTATGTGCTTGTAAAGATTTACTGAAATTTGGGCGAAATTTTTCAGGAAAGAAAATAACGGTAAACTTTAACGAAAATACAAGCTGAATATAGCCGCAAATGTCAACCATGGCAAAAATATTTCGACTTGACAGTGTTAGCATGTTATTATAATATTATGTTGTTTTCTTTCAATACAAAGAGGGAAAGCTTTAGAAAAGTACATTTTGATTATATTATTTGTTTTATGAAACAAGAATGAGTAAATATTTGTTTCTTTGGGGATTAATGGCAGTTTATTAGAAAAATTTTTTGGCAATTGTCCTTTGATATATTAAAGGATAGATTTGGCAATCATCAAATTACCAGTTGACAGATTGCAGTTAATATCGAAAGAAACATATATTTACTCGTTATTGTTTTATATAAAATAAAAATTGCAGAATTCATAACATAATATAATCAAAAGATACTCTTTAAAAGCTCTCTCTCTTTATATTTGAAGCATACAACACATGATACTATAAACTACAGATAAACCCACGCGCACGCGATCAGTCGTGTGACGTCACTTGGCGACAAATGTCACCAGAAATGTTCTGTGTTGTATGGAGTTTTGTCAGATTTAGTCAAGGTTAGTAGATATTTAAGTATCTACTTAAATATCTACTAACCTTGAGATTTAGTTTTGTTTTATCGTTTATCTTGTACGTTGACATCGGTTTACTGGGTAAACCATCTTTCCGAAGGAGGTTTACTTAAACCATATCCAGATTTTCTAATTAAATGTAATGAACTGGACCATATTTTTAACAATTTTAACAAAGGGTCATTAAAATTAACCAAGAATTATTTAAAATCGCTAATGGATTTAGCTGTGTTCAGGTGTAATGTTAGTAAAGGTGTAAATTATATTTTAAAATTAGAAAATTGAATAGATATATTAAAGAAACATCCAAAGTTAAGAAGAAGAAAATATTAAAAATTGTAAAATAAATTGTTAAATAAACTTGTAAATTATTACAGTGTATTTTATTTTATCAGTTGTAATAAATTTTTATTTTAATAAATCAATCCATTGTATATAAATTTCCATTTGCAAAAGGATGTTTAGTTCTTACTTTTTTATATAATTTTAGTTTACATTGCTAGGCTAACAGAGATGTATATATAACATATTTTTAAGATTTAATTGCAGATATTTTACCTAACATCCCTTAATATTCTAAATATTTAAATAAAAACCCCTTTCTTTCCATATATGTTTTACCGACTGTGATGATAAAAGGTTGGTGATAAAAGTGACATTTATCACCAATTGACGTCATGCGCGTCGATGTACAAAATTCGATTGCGAAGTGGGTTTATCTTGGAAGTCTTAGTATCATGCATACAACCAGAGTGCATACAACATATACATTATAAAAACATCCAACACTGCCAAACCGAAATGTTTTGTTCCATGGTTGACATCATAGATTAAGTTCCATGGTTGACATTTGCGACAATATTTAGTTTGAACTTTCGGTAAAGTTAACCCACACAAATATTTGATTTACTCAAAAAACAATATCAACGTTTTTAATTATATATCAACTTTGAATTTATTATTTAAAGGACAAATTTAAATATATGAACTTATTTTTTCAACTACAGCAGAGATAACTCTACTGGAATAGATTTATTTAGATGCCAATATTCGTGTGTTAATATCCAAAATTTAATTTGTTCATATATGTCAATTTCAATTCAAAGTTTTAATTGTAAACAAAAAAAAAATTTTAATTTAAAAACTGATATATTTTATTTTTTGACCAATAGCAATTTGGATAATATAAAATACATGCGATATACATAATAAATAATGTACGAAATAATTAAAAACACATAAGTACATATTTCTTTATTCTAAAGTAAAAAAAAACAGGAAAATCACGAAATATACACCATATTTTGTATTATTACAATTTTTTAACTTACACAATTATTAGTTACAAACCAGTAGATTTGGATTTTCGTGTAAAATAAGCTAAGCCGATTTTTTCAAGTAGTGTGCGCGTTGTCCGTTAGGTGTCCACAAATAAGGGGGCAAAATAATATAGACAAACAATATTTGAAATTTTTATTGTCGTTTCCCGTGTTATTTACATGGAATTTTATGAGAGTGGCTTTTTTCAAGTTTTAAACCAAAATAATAATCTCATAAGCGAGATTTTTCCTACATGAGTGTATGTTTAAACCACAATTAGATAAGACATTGACTTTGTAATACCCTATATATTGGTTAATCTTTCGGTTTGTGGTCTAGAATAATTGTATAAAAATGGTTCGAACATGCAGCGCATTGGGTTACACTACAAGGTTTAAACTCTGTGTGTCATCTTCGATATTATGTATTCAAATGACATCCTATCACCTCAAGATTTCTAAATAGGATCTAGATATCTTGGAGTGAAGGAGCTTATATGAAGAAGGAAAAGAATATTCTCTTCTCTTTTTCTCTTCAAAGATGTAGAAACTAACATAGATTTGCTTCTGGAAGAGTTGAACAGTGTGCTTGTAGTAGACAAGAAATCTAAATTAAAGAATTGTATCCTTTTTATCCATACAGAGGTGTAAAAAAAGAAGAACGAGGACAAGCAGGTGTAGGTATACTTATCCATAAAAAATTTAAAGACAACATAAATAACTGCTGTTATATTTTGTATAGTGTGTTCTGAAGAGTTATACCCCTATAATTTTTACATTCTAACAAATTTTCCTTTTTGTACAGTGGACATATGATTCCAGTGCACCATTCCACTGGTATTTGTTCTTCTTCCCACACTTTGACTATTATGCTGTGAATTTGGTGTATGATGTTGGTAACTCCATGTTTGATGAGCTAATTAGCAGATAATGAGCAGGAATACAATCCACTCCTGTGGACTTGTTATTTTTGAGACGTGTGATTGCGTCTCTCGCTTACAATGTTGAAGGAGGAACTACGTGGCTGTTATTTTTTGGCCTTTGAGGTAACGCATCATTTTCCACTTCGGTACCAAGAAGTTCTTTGAAGTGCTAAACCCATCTACATTGTACTGCGTCTATATGTCCATTTTTGTCCTACCCATCGTCAGCCGTGGTTGGAATTCTTTTCTTGACTTCTTTAAGATGTCTACATTTTCTTAGCAGTGACTTAATTTTGTCAGGTTAGTAATTAAATAATAACATATTTTTATTGATAATAACCCAAATTACATGTTTACGAATTAAACAAATATTTTGATTCTAATGTCAGACATCTTGCAAATATTGCAGTAACAACAAAGAGAACAAGGCTGAAGAAAAATGCTGTGCCATCCCCATCGAGCAAAAAGACAAAAGAGAGAATGTAAAGGTAGTGGGGTCAAAAATATTGTCAGACAGGAAGTGCCACCTTGAGAGGCCACATTAAGCAAGGAAAGAGAGTCTCTCTCCTTGTTTAAGAAATCAAATTTAGTTGGGTTATGTTATTGTTTGTCCCAACTGTCAATCTTATTTATATTGCAGTTTTTATAGCAATTGTGTAACATTTTAGACTATTATCGTTAATAATTAATTAAAACTTTCTCGACTAAGACACATTTTGAAAACTATTTTATAGCTACTCTTAATAAATGTCGAAAAATTTTAATTTGGCGCATTCACATTTCCGGATATGTCCGCCATCAGAGGCCAATTTTTTGGTCCTCCTTTTCATAACGATTAGATTCCCTCTTTTGTCTGTTTGCTCGATGACCATCCCAAAATTTACTTCAAAGTTCTGCCATTACAAAAGTCAATAACCCTGCTATGACACAAATTAGGATGGACAGAATCCAAAGAAGAAATATACAGATGTATGTATTTACATCACAATATTTTAAACTGTATTAACATTGTTGTAGGGAGAAATGTTGGAAAATTGTAGTAGAAATCATCCAAGTACATCAGCAATGTATTTCAGTATATATTTTTGTCCAGATTTATCTGAAATTAAACCATTTGGTTGTCTGATGAATGATTATATTGATTTTGTAAATAAAAGATTTATTTTGTTTTAATAATCCATTACTAATAAAAAACTACCTTGTGAATGCCTTCATTTTTATTTAGGTAAAACATAAAGATCATTAAATGTTAGAATAAGTGAACATCAAATGTATAATATTAAAAAAAAGCATGTTCCAAATATTAAAGTTAAAATTTAAGAACTCATCACTTGAAAACTGTTTCCCCTTCAACCAATGGACTCTTTGCTTCACCACAATACACAAAGATATCATTAAGGCTAATTTCCTTTTTTAAATGATAAAAATAACTCGTCTTAAACTAAACTAAATTTGGAAAAGCAATGGTAAACATTCGACTGTCATGTTTGTTTATACCATTTATATCGGCCATGACACTGCAATCAACATGCCCTCTACATTCAGTTTCAATCGCGAATTGGTTTTTTGTTTATAATAATGAAGGAATAAAATATTTTTCAATATAGTAAAAATCAACAGAAGAATCTTTTCTTAAACTATTTATTATTGCATATTTTAAATTGTTTCCTAAAAATGTAGAAGTGGACGCGCAGGAACGGGAGAAATCAAGCAAAACTTTTACGTCAGCACAAATTTATAAAAAATTAGCTGCTGTATATTATATTCAATTACGATTTAGAAGAGTATTCGTATAATCTATGTACACAATATTTAAAAATCTTCAAATTATAGTACAACTTTGCGTCAAATAAAAAATATTGTATATACAACGGCAATGAAGTAAAAATTATATCATATCACTCACTATTTCAAAAAAATCATGTAGATAAGTATATATACAGCCACGTAACTTTTCTACTCTTTACTCTTCTTCTTTCCTTCCTTCTTCTTAGGTCCTTCTTCTCTCCATTTAGCAGCTCTGGACGAATTACGCGCCTCTCTTTTTGGGTTTTTAGGCTTCTGCAAATATCTTGGCGTTTTATGTTTCTCAGGCGATCCGGCTGACTCAGGCCTTAGTAAACGACCCTGTAAATGATAGGAATCTTTTCTTCGCATAGTGATCTTCACTATGGAAAAAACGTCAATGGGTACGGTAGCCGCTTCGAAATTGTTGAACTTTTGGAAATGAATGATCAGTTTCTTTTCCTCATAGGTCCATATAGTTCCTGGCAACCCTGAAAATATGTATTTTATTAAAGAAATTTACAAGAAGTATATCTACGATTCGTTGATCATACTAAAGCATTTGAGTGTGTGAAGATATGAGTATTTTTCTGCAATGTGTATCCTTGAACGGCAACTGTCGCATGCTATTATTTGCTTTTCATAAGTACCAAGATCTTGGGAACAAGCGCTACAATTATTTATTTTCTTTGATAGTACGCGCTCCAATTGCGTAGGTTTTTGTAATTGACAGATGAAAAGACTACATTCACGTAAAAGAAGAAGAAGAATTGACTCTATCTTCACGTAAAAGAAGAATAATTGACGCTATCTTCACGTTGCGTAAAATAAGAAGAGTTGACGCTATCTTCACGTTGCGTAAAAGAAGAGTTGACGCTATTTCACGTTTGAACGATGACAGACGAAAAGAAGAACTGACGTTAACAGACGAAAAGAAGAATTGACAGACGAAAAAGAAGAAGAGTTGACGCTATATTCACGTTTGAACAATGACAGACGAAAAAAAGAATTGACGTTGACATACGAAAAGAGGAATTGACAGTTGGCGTTTGACAGGTGACAGCTGTCAGCCGCCATCTTGTGACGTCAGAGTGGGCTGAAGTGCCACCCTATCTATTTGTCATTATAACCTCACAATTTTATCTCAAAATATTTTAGTAATCCTCGGCTTTTTGCGGTCTATTATTTATGAAATATAAAAAGCAATAACCGACATAACTATTACGCACAATATTATTTTTAATATGCTTTCAAAACTTAAAAAGTTTTTAGAAAAATAAAGCAGCAAAATTTTGTTTGTATTGATAACCTAACCTCCGCGATTTGTTGTGATCCTTGCTTATCCTTACCTCTATTACAAGTATTTGTTTTGATCATCGAGCAAAAAGACAATAGAGGGAATGTAAAGGTAGTGGGGGCAAACATATTGTTAGACAGGAAGTGCGATCTTTAGAGGCCACATTAAACAAGGAAAGAGAGTCTCTCTCCTTGTTTGACATCAAATTTAGTTGGGTTATGTTATTGTTTGTCCCAAACGTCACATGAAATCTTATTTATATTGAAGTTTTTTAACAGTTGTGTCGCATTTTAGACTATTATCGTTAATAATTAATTAAAACTTTCTCGTCTAAGACACATTCTGAAAAATATTATATAGCTACTGTTGATAAGTGTCGGAAAATTTAAATTTCGCGCATTCGCATTTCCGGATATGTCCGCCATCAGAGGCCACTTTTTTGGTCTCCTTTTCATAAGGATTAGATTCCCTCTTCTCATCTTCTGTCTTATTGCTCGATGGTTTTGATACAATGATTTTTATAAATATGTTTACGACATTTGTTACATACAAGTGATTGTTTGTTATCATGCTTAATCTTACAAGGGCATACATTTGTTTTGTCGCTATCTAGTAAAGAAATTTGGCACTGAAAAAAGGTTGAGAAAAGAATTATAGTATGCAAAACACCTTCGTAATAAATAACCTAAAACCTTCATCAGTCAAATAATGACAAAAACGAGCTTGAAGACATTAATAAAGTTTCCCGAACACACAATTTTAAAACCATTGGAGCTTCCACAATGTCATCATCTATTTTACAAAATATTATCAAAGAAATTTTAATGCTCACTAAGATATTATATACTCACATTTGCATATATCCTTAGAACAGTTCCAGTTTTTAGCACGACCACATCGATTTTATCTTCCCGGACGTCGACGACGACACAATCTTCTTTGCAGGGTCGGCCATTTTCTATGTAGTGTGCCAGATACAGGTCTATACTTGCATCGCCCGCTTTTTTGGCTTGGTATTTTTGGAGATTGCAGTTGGTAGCGATGGCCTCCACGTATTTCGCGTCCCATTTAGGTGGACTGGTGTAACCTGGACACAAGTATCATTAATTAGATTCGATAATGATGTTATGCTATGTTTTAGCATAAACAATACAAAGAAATACGAGACAGAGATCGATGACCCGAATGACCAGCTATACATATGCCGCTGCAGAGTGGTTTATGTTCTTAATGAAAAACTAACAGACTTCTTTGACATACATAATATCATTCCTAAACATCAATGTGGATTCCAACCTAGTTATTCAACTTGAAATGCATTGTTTGACATAATCGCCCTTCTCTCGTAATCCATAAATGATAATATCTCAAAAGCCACAAATTTCGATGTCCAAAAAGCTTTCGATCAAGTCTGGCATCATGAACTGATTAGAAAGCTAACAGAAATTGGCTTATCTGTACAATTCGTTAATATTGTAAAACGCTACATAAGGGATAGCACTATGAGGGAAAAAACACAAGACCAATTTACATGGCGTGAATGATACTTCAAACTAATTCTATTAACGCAAGTACAACACAATTCTTCTTCTTCTTCGGCCTTCATTTATCCTTGTTGAACATAGGCCTCCTCCAATTGCTTCCATGCTTCCCTATCTTTTGCAATTCTCATCCACTGCTTTCCAGCTACAGCAGTTATATCGTCTATCCATCTCTTTTTAGGTCTTTCCACGCTTCTTTTTGTTTCTTGAGGTCTCCAGAATGTCACTTTATGAGACCATCTGTTGGTGTCTTGTCTTGCTACATGTGCTACCCATTGCCATCTCATTGTCGCTATTTTTCCCATGATGTCGGTTACTTTAGTTCTTCGACGTATTTCGGTGTTAGGAATTTTGTCTCTGAGGCTTATATTTAACATGGCCCATTGAGTTACTTTTAATTGTTCTGCCATTTTTCTTGTTATTGACATAGTTTTCAATCCATAAGTTGCAACTGGTAGTATACAAGTGTCATAGGATTTTCATTTTAAGTGAATTGGGATTTTTCTGTCTTTTAAAATGAAGCTCAACTTACCAAAAGCAGCCCATGACAATTTTGTCCTTTTAATTTCTAGGGTTTGATTTTCCTTTTCGTTTTTAATTGCATGTCTTAGATATATATATATATATATAAATATATATATATATATATATATATATATATATATATATATATATATATATATATATATATACGCAAATGGTTAAGATATACTCCATCTATTTTTAATCCCTTTTCGGTCCAATTTAGTTTTTTGAAAACATTTTCTAATGCCAAAGTAAATAACTTGGGTGAGATGATGTCGCCCTGTCTCACACCTTTGCCAAGATCTATTTTAATAGTTTCCAGATCATCATCTATTTTTACGTGAAAAGTAACATATTCGTATATATTCTTAAGGAGGGCAGCATATCTTGAATCTACTCTGGCGTCGTCCAATGCTGTTAAGAAAGCCCGTTTTAAAGCCCGTTTTCGATACTGTCGAATGCTTTGTGATAATCTACAAATGCCAGATGTAGTGGTATGTTGTACTCTATTGTTTTTTCAATAACTGTCCGGATTGTTTGCAAGTGATCGATAGTGCTAAAACCCTTACGAAAGCCAGCTTGCTCCACTGGTTGGTATGCATCTAGTTTAGCTGTCAATCTATTTGTTATTATTCGGGTTAGTAGTTTGTAAAGGTGTGACAATAAGCTTATTGGTCGGTACCTCGTTTTCTATATTTGCGGCGTCCTCCTTTTTATGGAGTAAAATGACTTCCAATAGGCATTTATTCAGTAATGCTCCCTTTGCCTCTTCTAATGCAGTGCCTCCCATTGTTAGCATCTCTGAAGTAATTTTATCTTCTCCTGGTGTTTTCCCATTTTCATTTGTTTTAGGGCGGCTCTAATTTCTGATGTTATTATTTCAGGGAAATCCTCTGAGCCCACATTTAAGATATGTTTTGTTGGTATACCGAGTAGAAGTATACAGATTCTCATAAAATTTTTGAATTTCTCTAACGATCTCTTCATTATGCGAGCACAATGTTCCACGGTCGTCTTTTATCTTTATGATTTTATTCCTGCCAGTGGATTTACATGTTTTTAGTACTTTCATGTTCTTATTGTTCTCTATGGTTTCAAGGTTTGTTCTATAAGCTCTGAGGTATTTTCGAACATTTTTCTTAACGCTTCTGGATCGACAGGAGTAGCGACTTCTTTGTGAGCAGGCCAAGATCCACAAGGGATTGTCGAACCACTTATGATGATGGTGATACAAACCGAATACATATTGTGTTATCTTTGAATATAAACCTACTAAACACAAACCAAAAGAAGTTGTTTCGATAATATCAAACAAAGATTAATTAGATAGTTGATATTTTTTCAAATAATTATATATTTTTTATATGGCTACGATTATGACTCACCTAAACTGGCTGCCAATAGTCGATGAACCATAATATCTGCGTATCTTCTAATCGGAGAAGTGAAGTGAGTGTAAATAGGAATACTGAGAGCATAATGTTTAAATTCTTCGACGCCGTTTTTTGCACTTGCGCAGAAATACTGTGCCCTTATCATTGCTTTTGAAGTAAAGTGGTTGAGAGCTACAGCTCTAGCTTGACCTAGAAGAAATGACATAGATTAACAATGCATAGTTGAATTATCATTACGTGACTGTCCTCTGTAGTACTTTTACTTAATTAAAATTAAAGGGGTTTTACCTATAAAATCATCAGTAATATACTTCTTGAGTGATGTGGCTATGGCTCCAGAAGACGATATGTCCAAATGCATGCCATACAGGGCCAATTTGTCTTGAAGAGCAGTTAACATGGTAACTTTGGGCGGTTCATGGCTTCGCAAGAATGCTATTTCTGGAAAATCATCATAGATCTTTTGTGCTACCGATATATTTGCCAAAAGCATAAATTCTTCTATTAAACGATGCGATTCCTTGTTTTCATAAATAGAATAACTTATGGGTTCACCTAAAAAAAATCACAGTAGAATTTATAGTTGTATTTAGTAGCCTTTAACATTCTCACTGCAAAATATCCAATAAAAATGATGAAATTATATCTCACCTGATACAGGATGAAGTGAAAACATTAATTTTAGATTATCAATTCGTAAGGCACCATTCTTTATCCGTTTCTCCCTTAATTTTACAGCTATACCTTGCAAAATATTGATAGCATTCACTAAATCTTTAGGTTCAAATCCATTGTAAATTTGAGGAAAGTCCTCGACACTAAACTCCTTATCTGGGTTTTCTATAACTGACTGAGCATGCTCATAAGCCAACTTAACACAAGAATTAAGTATACTTCTTGTAAATCTCATATTTACAATGTCCCCATTTTGGGTCATCTCCCAAAATACAGAAAATGACAACTTATCCTCACCAGGCAAGAGGGAACAAGCTAAACAAAGTTCAATGGGAAGCATATGGTAAGCTTTATCTACCAGGTAAATCGTAGTTGCTTTCTGGCTAACTATTTGGTCCAGTTCTGTACCTTCTTGTAGGTAAAAGGCTGCATCTGATATATGGACTCCTACTTCTAGATTACCTAAAAAATATCAAGAATATGTGACATCTGCAGGTTGTTCTGAGTCATTTAATGATGTGTCAAATTAAGCCATAAAAAAACAACTATAAGTATGAAGTGATAAAAAGAGCGCAATAAATATTATATATAATACTTACCATTTGGCAAATTTTCTACTGAGAGAGCATCATCTAAATCCCTTGCAGACTCAGGATCTATTGTAAATATACATTTTTTCCTTAAATCCTCCCTATATTCAAACTCTTTCTCAGGAATAACTTTAAGATCTGGCAAACTATTTACGATCTCCTCACTAAAGGGTGTTATATCTAAATTATTCTCTTTCAAAATTGACAAAGATTCAATTTGGAGATTACCAGATTCTCCCAATTTCTCAATTAGAATACCTTTAGCATAACTGGGAACTTCCCAGTCTAATAACTTTCCTACAAATAAGATATCTTCGAACTTCTTTGGCTTGTCTTTAAAACCTGTTGGTAAATACAGTTCTGAAATCCTCATGGGAGGAAACCTTTTGTCTCTGGGAGCGAATAGGGCAAAAGTGCCTTCTTCGTTATCGATCCATTTTAAGAAAACCTACACATGTTCTTGGATGAATCTAAACAATAAATTATTTATTTATTCATCAATGGACAATCAGCCAATTAAAATACAATGTAAACATTATTGATAAACTACAGAAGATTCTTAACGTAACCTACTTAAATTAAATTTAAAAATTTTAATCATACAAAAAATAAAAGTAGGAACAATAAATAACAAACATTAACAAAGAATGTACAAAACACAAGGACATTAAGCTATCACACACAGTTTTTAAGCTGAGCTTTAAATTCTTCTGGAATACTATAACTATCCAATGGGCTAGAGAAAAATCCAAATTGCTGGGTCGATAAAACAGCCCTTTAAAGTTGCTGACAAATAGTCACAGACAAGGCTCTCAAAAACTATGGGAATACAACTTAGAATGCTAATAGGCTGATAATTGTTCACTTAAGAATTATCTCCAGATTTAAGTATTGGGGTAATAAAGCTAGTTTTCCAATAGACCAGGAACATAACTAGCTTTAATGACAGGTTAAAAATGTGAAAAAGAAATCTAGAAAGTAAAAAAGCTAAAGTGTTTAAGAAAAGAAGGTGGAAGACCATCTGGACCTGGCCTCTTGTTGTTATCCAAAATGGAAACTATTTCATATACAGACAAAATAGAAATGCTAAATTGTGATAGGTTGATGTCTCCTGTTAAAAAGGTTGCATCCTGCAAATCAAAATATTTGTCACTATAAGTCTTGGAAAAGTATTTAGCAAATAAATTGACAATCTCCATGCCAGAAGAGCCAGAAATATTATTATAGTGCATAACAGAAGGAATCCTATTCCTGTTTTTTACTGTTTCAAAATTCTGGAAATTTGGAAACAAATTTCTAGAAATTTTTAACATTATCTTTCAGAGAGGATTTAGTTAGAGCAACATAATCAAGATAGCATTGTTCTTTCAGTTGTTTACAGTTAGCTCGTAATAAAGAAAACTCATTATAGTCAGCAAGTAATTGAGATTTGAGATATTTTTATGCATTTTCTTTTGTTTTTGATAATTGTTTTTTTAAGGTCTGGAGAAAACCAGACAGAAACCTTTTTTGCTGAATACTTTTTCAGGGAACAAAAATATCAATTGCAAGAATCAGATTCACATTTAAACCCAAATGAGAGTGAAGGATAATGTTTATCCTCTGGGAGTAGGGCACTCTCAGCTGTAGATACCTCAACCTCTTCATCTTGGACCATGACTAGATCTAATAAGGAGGTGTTTTTCATTTTTAACATTGTTTACTTGATACAGATTATGAAAGCAACATAAAAATGAGAGGAATTGCATGGATTTGACTTCATATGGTGGGGTTCCTGGTAATGGAGTAGCCACAGAAGAGAATTCATCAATGGACCACTGACAATTGGCAAGATTAAAATCTCCCAGGATACATAACTTATATTCTGGATACTTTTCAGCTAGATTATCTGCATTTTCTTCAATTCAAAATACTTCTCAATGATACTGGGTGGTGGAAAGTAGGCAGTTGCAAAGATAAATTTGTCGATGTGGTCAATATCAATCTTGACAAACAGATGTTCGATATTTTGAGTCACTGACAAACAAACACTGGTTATTTTCTCACTCATTCACCTCTTTTGAAGGTACTTTTTTCTGAGGATCTATCTCTTCTATATATGTTGTAGTCAAATATTTGCAGTTCGGCGCTCTTTATGTCATCTGTTAACCATGTTTCATTAAAAACTAAAATATCGTATTGTGAGTAAGAAGTATTTCCAAACAGTAGCTGATATTTTGTATATAACCCTCTTGACATTCTGAAAATACACCAGTGCTTTTGAAGTCTCAACTGAGGGGGCTTTGAACCTGGTAGATATGTTTAGTTTTTTCATATTAACTTTGGCACACCATTAACACATTTCAAGATGAGATTGGATTCACCCTTAGGCTGTCTTTCTTTTTCTCTCATTTCAACTCATTTTCAGTGCATTGACCTCAGCTCATTGTTCAGTAGTTAAATCAGCTTCCAGAAATACTTTTAAACCTCTATCCAACTCCCTCTTGTTTCTCAATACCAACTGAACAATTTCAGGTGACTCTAGAGTTAGTTGCAGTGATTGATACTCATTTTTGTTTCGTTTACCAATTCTAGTTCAACTGAATATTTTTATATCAGAAACAGCTAAGGCCCAACAGCATTTCCTAAGCTTTAGATGTGTCATCTTTCTCAGTCCCTCTGGATCTCTTTCTCTGTCCTTTTATCTACATCTCCCTCTGTCACACACTCTTTCCCTCCTGCTATGTCTATGTTACTATCTGTCTTGCTCCCTCTGTCTCTCAGTCTCCCTTGCCTATCTCGACACCTGTATTTTCCTCACTCCTCCCTCCATCTCACAAGTTTTCCCTTACTCTCTTAGTCTCACTCTCTCTCTATTGGCCACACTCGCTATATCTTGTCCTAAATTACTCTCTTACACTGAGCAACCTCTCTCCTTGGGACCCCTCTCCTCTTCAATGACGTCCAACTGTTCCACTCTGTCTCTTTCATTCTATCCTTCTGTCTCTCATAATAGTGGATTTCATTGATTAGTGTACTAAGTACTAAGATGATAGATATTTAAAACAAATTAGTATATCAAAATGATTTATAAAAGTCTGTGATGGATTAATTCTGCCCAAAAATTGCTCTACTTAAAAACATACAAACCTTTTGCAGTACTGAAACCACCTTGGCTAGATTTTGGTTAGAAGAATCTCCTTCTTTTTTAGGTGTGAGCTGTAACACCACTTGATCACCCTCTAATGCTCGATTTCTGTCACTGATAGATGTTATGCAATAATCTGCAATACTAGAATCCTCATTATTAACATATGATTCTCTGCAATTTTTAGGGTTGATCCTAATAAAACCTTTCACCAAAGTACCATTTGCCAAACCTTCATCAATATCTTTTTGGTCCATATATTCACTGAATGTTGCCTGTTCCCTTTCTTGTTCTTTTTTCTTTCTTTCTCTTCTAGATTCTTTCTTGGCATATTTGCGGCATTTAATTTTATTTGTCTTTTGTCCTGATTTTTTAAAAAGCGTTGTGACAAACAAACACGAGGATGATCGACTGTCAATGAAAGACCTCAAATTGATAAATTTATCTTCAATATTACGTTGCCTTATAATTTTACTGTTTGTGTTAGTCGTAACAGCTTGAATAGAGAATGTTACTGGTGTTGTATCTTCAATGGTTGCTGGGTTAGTACTAGCTGATGGTATTCGTTGTCTAGGACTGTTAGTAGATTTCCCAGCACTGGTACTTGGAGAAGATAATAAATCTCTAAAATTTGTTGATGATGAACGACTACAATTTGAAGACACTGAGTGCCTAGAAACATCTTCTTCGTCGTCTTTGTGTTTATGTCTATTCCTAAATCTTGGTCTTCTTCTGACCTTCTTAGGGGTCTGCAACTCTTTATCTCGTTGATGATTTGAGGAAACATGCTGTACATGCACATTTGCTCTGACTGGATTGTTGGCTGAATTGTTAACCATATGCACCACAGTATTGCTTTTATTTACATCTGTAGATATAGATAATTGTTGAAGAAAATCTGTACATTGGGAAACACGGTTTGACATTATCACAAAATCTTTACGTTTGCAAGAAAAATACACTAAAAATTTATACACCCACTAATAGTTTTACATGTACTTCCCGAGACAATAGATCATTATACTATTATATGATGATTTGATGATCTATGATTATCTATATCATAATTAAGATTGCTGCACAACAATAATTATAAATGTCACAAACATAACCTTTTACATGTGACTTATGTCAGTTTGACAATCATTTTGACACTTCCGGATTTTTTTTTCATTCTACAGGAATCAAATTTGTAAGATATTGCAACATATCCCAAATAAACCCACAAAATAAAATCAAGTAAAACTTAAATTGTTGGAAATTAAAACCTCATCATGACATAAATTGTTTTAAATAAATTTGATGTTGAGGGTTGATGTAACTATGCATTAATGTAAAGATGAAAAGAAAATATTAAAAACTAAATTATATTAAGGCAGGCCATTATAGTGGTAATTCATGGAACAATTTAGATCCTTAAAAGTAGTGAAAATCTGTTCAAGGAGGTGCAATTTAAAATTAATGCGCAGTTAAACATAAATGAAATTTTGCGCATGATTTGACAGTTCCGAGCAATGTAGGAAAACCATCACGGAACAAAAATTAAGGTTGTTATTAAATTGTGGCGTGCGCAGAGGAATCATTACATCAGCTGTTCAATACATTATGGTAGTTGTTTGTGTTTAGTAATTGCAAGGTCAGTCTTTGTGCGAGTATAAAATTGTTTTGAAAACGTTTTGGTACTTGGACGTGTACAGATTTTGAAAATAATATTTTCGTCGTATTCCACGCAGTTTCCACAAAAGTGTTTTCCTTCTTCGGACTCATGAATAGCACAGGTTCTTCTGACTCAAATGGATCCAAAAATTATTTTGTAAACTTCAACCAGGATAGCACGTAAGTTTCGTTAATATTATTCTTAAATGTTTTGACGGGTGGTCGAAAATGTTATTTACGTTTGACAAATGTACCTACGGATTTTCTTTTTACGCTCAAGCGTTTAATTTGCGTTTTTGTGTGAAAATAGGTGCGTCATTTTGCAATCAATCCTCATACGTTTTTTACAAAAACGAATGTATTTTTCAGTTTGACCTTTACAACAATTTTAGTTGTAAAATACTTGTACGTTGTTAGCTAGTCTAAATGACCCTGAGTGAAAATTTAGAAGGCAGAAAATTTGAATATTTTAATTTTAAAATTGTAAAGGATATCACATCACAGACAAAACAAGAGTTTTGTTTTTAAATAGTACTTGTAAGAATGCTTTTATCGGAGTAAAAATTGTTTTTTAATGTAGATTGCGTGCATTGAGCAATAATATTTTTAATTTTCATGATATTGTATCTTTATTTGGCGATGGGGTCACTTTAAACTTCCCTAAATTCCTCTATTTTTTTTTAAGATATTTTCGATGGAAAATATTAATTATTTGTTTAAAATTTTTTGAAATTGGTATATTTAAATATTTAAAATGTCTATGTGGCACTAATATTTGTTGTCTTGAGCATTTGGTTGATATTAATGTGACTAACCTTGGATGTAATTAATAACTAGAGATTGTTGTGATTTTTTTAACAGTTTTTTTTAATACTGTTGATAAAAATGTGATGTTTATGAGTATATTTAAAAACTACTAGAGATAATAATAATTAAATATGTTTTAAGTACACCAAAAAAGCTTTGTATAAAATATAAACAATATAAGTAGTATTAATAAACTTATTTAATGTTTTATGAGAAAAAATTTTGGAATTTTATTTTAAAAATTACCTTTATTTATTTATTTATTTAACTAACCTCCTTTAAAACACATAATGATTGTTATTACAATAAGAGAGTTCATACTCCTGCTAAAAACTAATAACTATATCAAAAACTAAACCTAGACAGAATAAAACAAGTAAAAAACAACTTTTGCAGACTAGAAATTTGTTTCAAAGGCAACTTTTATTTGTTTCACAGAAGAATTTAAAAAGTCTATATCACATTTAATTATCACTTGGTTACATTCTTCTAACATCTTATAATTTATGGGTTCTACTGGCGACAGGCTCACAAAATATATATAATATCATTATAGATTTCTTGTCAGACACATGCATGGTTCTATAGAATTTGTACTTGAGCATGAAATTTTTCATGATCGTGTGGAAATTTAGATTTGTATCCTATTGTTTACCTAAATGTTATAACACCTTATCCGTGGTCCAGTTTTGTTTGTCTACCAAGAATGTCTTGATGGGCCCCTAGACGAGAAGCAAGTGACCCTGTAAGTTTCCTTGTAGTATATTCTTCTAATTAATTATCTGTTAGTTTTCGATTAGGGATAGAGTTGTGCATTTGTCTGATTGGAGAATCTATTGCAACTGGCTGAATGACTAATGTTAATGCATTAAAAAAAAAAATTTATGGGTGAACAATCAGTCTTATTAGTTGAGAACTGGCATTTGTTATTAATTCTTATATGTATTTTTGGAACATTAAATTTAATATTATTAATATTATTATTATTTTGCTATACATTTTAAAAGCAGTTGAGGTGTTACGATTGAAGAAGTGATTACAATTGTAGAAGCAGAAGTTGGTTTAATTTGAATTTTCTTTGACTGCATGCACATTTTAGCTCAATTTTTTTGCAGAATTAGGCTTTTATTCGCATAAAAATTGACATTAGAATGACAAAACAATTATTTGAATACTGACAACTGTCACAACATTAAGAGTATATACTGCCAAAACATATATATGGAATTATAGGATATGGAATTTTGTATATTGTGGAATATTTTGTTTATAATTTTTGTTGTTGCAGCATAAGGCCATTGTGGTTTAGTAGTAGTAGGTCATTCCCTGTCATTTTTTGCAAGGTTTTCTGCTCATACAAACTTTTGACTTTTCAGGTTGCATTAATTTTGTAATATACTTATATATTTTTTGTTTTTGTCATATTTAGATTTCATATAGATAGATGTCATATTATTTTGTCAAGAATTATTCCATTAACAAAATTATTGTGACCTTCAGATCTTTCAAGAAATTCCCATCAAAATACATTTGAATATTAAGGATCCCATCTGCCTGTTTCTACAGAATGTTACCTTTTATAAAATACTTTCAAATGGAAAGTCCAAACAATTAACTGATTAGGGATTACAGATAAGGTGGACCATAGATAGATGGAAATTAATAATTTAGTAAGTGGTTTTTGCCTATACCTTTCTTTGGTAATGATCAGGTAAAATTTGATTTTCATTGTGTTAAAACAAACTTGTATTACAGGTAGATAATTTTGGTGTGCTTTAACTAAAGATATAAGTTCATGCAATAAGAACAAAATGGTATATTTTTCATAATTCTAAGCATTTTTTGAGGTATTCATCCACAGGCCAATGTTTGTCAGTGCTTTGTGTTTGTCAGGTGATCATCAGTCCTGTCAGATTCAAATAATTTTTCTATGTATGATTTCCATGTTTCTAAGATCGTTGATGGCTCCGAGATAAGATTTCCATCGCTATCTTTTATGCTGTTGGATGACTTATTGAATTTCCTCTTTGTCATTGATTCTATTTTTTTGTGCATATTGTAACTGTCGTATATCCGTTCGTATTGCTCTAATTCCCTGCAATCGTTGGAAAACCATTTTTCTTTGGCTTCTCGAATTTTCGTTCTTATGTTTTTGTGGATCTGCTGGTATTTTTCTGCATTTTTATTCTTGAATTTACGTCTTTCATGCATCATATCCATTATCTCATCCATTCTTTCTTCTTCTGTCTGTCACGCTTTAATAGAGTCGCGCATGTTGTTTGGATTGCTTCCCTCGATGTATCCCATCTCTCTATTATGTTCGACGTGTTCTCGTTAATGTCGTTTATTTTCTTTCCTAGTTGTTCTCGTACTTTTATTTCGGTTTCTGGGTTAGTGAGTCTCTTAATATCAATTGTGTTTAAGTACTGCTATATAATCTATATACTCAATGCATAGAATTTTTCTGATTTTATTGGGCAGGTCGTCTAACAAATTTAACAGAAAGCTTTAAGAAGAACTTTTTCTGAAAGAATAGTTTCGTGAAAGAATCAGGTGATCATAAATGCAAAGAATCTATAGATTAAGATTCTTGTTATAAACCAATGAACACTCTTAATAGTGAGGGTTAGAAATGTTTGTCTTGTATGGTTCGGACAATGATTCTGTCAAAATATTCTCAAAATGAATGAACCGACTATAATATCCCCGTATATTACGTTTTTCCATTCTTTATTTCGTCGTTCGTTTTTAGTGATTTATTTATTTATAAAACAAAACCATTCAATAGAAATACTATCATCAATAATAATAATACAAACAAAACAAACGCTACTATTTTATCTAATCTGTGCAACGCGCGTGTTCTTTTAATGAGTCAGATATTTTGATGTGACGTGAAATTATTTGCATTAAATGGTGAAACGATATGCATTGTTGTCTGGGAGCTTGGATAGTAGGTTATGTCGCGTTGAATTTATTTGGAAAAAAGCAAAAGTTCGTCTACCAGTAAAAAGTAAAGCATTTTCAACGAAATTTCAGGTAGCTACCTGATAAAACTCGCTTAATTCTTTTACAATGACGATTTATGAATGCTGATTTATTAGTTTGTTGCGTAGAAAACTGTAAAAATCCTAAGAATTCTTAATTTTTAATAAATTTCAAATAAATATTGTGAAAATGAAAATACAAACAACCTTGAACGTGCTATTGCGTGAAAAGTTTGTGCTTGTAGTGTAGTGTTAAAAATACCGTCAAAATTTCAGAGTGATTCGTGGGTTAATTTAAAAGTTATTTAAATTGTTTATCTCAAACAATTTTTTTTTGTAATAATTTAAGTTTCAAAAAATTAACTTCCTATAATTCTACGGGTATCATAAGCAAAAGGAATTCAAATGAATTTCAAAAAAATGAACAAGAAAAACAATTTGCAACATTGCAAAACTTTATTGCAAAAACATTGTAATTTTTTGTTTATAAACAATTTGAATAACTTTTTTGCTGCTACTAGGTGAAAAAAAAATTTCCATATTCGAAAACCTGTCATTTTTTTACATTAAAAAAAGTTGTCATACAATAATTAGATAATTAGGGACAAAGTTAGTCCCGTTTAAAAAAAAGTTTTAAAATTGTGGAGCTCCAATTTTCTCAGATTGGGAGTAGTCTTATTGCACATATTGCAAATATAATTCCAAACGAAAAAAAAAAATAGCCCTTAAAATATAACAGATTGGTAACAAACAAACAATCCTCCGAAATCGAAGGTTTAGTTAGGACTTTTTCTGTTCAGAACTTTCGTAAATTCCAAAATTTGTACAAATCAAAACATCACAAACCCTGGACTACCAAAGGTATCCGCATATCAGCCAAGAATATGCGTTCGCTACTGTACATCAAGAAAATTTACTACAACATCTTTGTCACCGAATCTATCTCCAAGTACAGAGGAACCTATCTAAAACTTATCAGGCCGTCCCTTTTCCCCCTATAGCACTCTGATTCGCGATAGGGACACAACTATCAGCCAAATGCTCTTCACGTGGAGGTCCTGGGTATACTCCATTCGCTTAGCTCGGGCATATTGTGACAGATTCATTGTCGGAAACCTACAACACAACAATTCCTACTTCTCAGTATTAATAGCTCAAGTATGCTACTATTGCAGACTTCTTTCTTTGAAAAAAGAAGAATTATTCTAAATAGTGGAAGTGTACACTAAACCCATCAAATTTTGGGTAGTATATATTTAAAAATATATTTTAGTTATTATAATTTAACATAAACTATTTGTTATATGGTGCAGATAAATAAATATTGATTGTCGGTAATTCGCAAAGTTCTATTTTATTTACTATTTAGTTTGTTTACTATTAATA